TTCTTCTTCTTCTTCTTCTTCCTCTTCTTCTTCTCCTCTCCTCTTCTCCTCCTACTCCTCCGAAGTTCTTCTTCTTCTTCTTCTTCTTCTTCTTCTTCTTCTTTATCAGAGTAGAGATAGAGGTAACTGCAGACATTGTTTGGACACGGCCTTCTGCCTTATTGGGCAGTGGCTGCTGAAGAGGAGGGTGCCCCCCCTGTTGTGCGTGGCCTTGCAACCACAATCGAACATGTGAGCGACTTGGTCGCCACCTGTGCAACACAGCAAGAGGACATCCTCTGCATGGACACCCTGGTCCGGAAGCATATTCGAATTATCGATGAACTGTTTGACTGGGTACACCGACTGGAACAGCAGCCTACAACAGCCACCCCCGCCGGACCCTCCAACTTGACGGACCTCGTCAACGTCTTGGAAATTGACGTCTAGGCTCTCAAGGACGGCGCTCTAGCGACAAATCAGCGGATTGACCAGCATATTTGTGTCGCCGCAGCCAGTCCGACCGCGACTACTCGCAAGAGCATCTCAAAGTTTGAGGGATTGCCGATCTTCTGCGATGCAACGAAGACAGACCCAATCCCATGGTGGCGGCAGTTCGAGTTGAAGTTGGACATTCACCACGTCATCAACCCGAACCGGCACGCATACTTAAACTCCCGCTCAGGGGGCGCGTGCCAGGCATGGCTGGACAACATGTCCATGCACAATGTTGCAGTCTCCGAGCTGCATACGAAGATCAGTTGGGCTGATCTCAAGGCAGCATGGCATAAGCGGTTCCAAGTGGAGCCGCTCGAGCTTCAGGCAGCCGAGAAACTTCAACGGTTCTATCAGAACGACCTGCCAAGCACGAACTGGATAACCGAGTACCAACGCTTGGCATCCACGCCCAACTTGCCGTCGACATTTGTCGCTATCAAGCACTTCTTCATTAGGAGTTGTCCGGCGTTGCAGAACACCTTGACACAAGTTGCGGAGACGCTCACCACAAGTGAGCAGCTTTTTGATAAAGCCTCGCAGATCATCGTGACGAACATCAAAGCCAAGAATTTGGGCCATTTGTCTGCTGCAGGCCAGGGCAGAAGTCAGCATCGGCCGAAAGTGGCCGTGGTCACAGCAACTACCGCGACCGATCCTTCAAACGAGGCTGCCTCTTCCGAAGTGGCCGTGGTCGCAGCAACTACCGCGATCGATCCTTCAAATGAGGCTGCCTCTTCTAATGAAGGAGACAGATTGGCAGTTGCCTGGGATGGTGGCCGCCCCGCGGACCAGCGAGTCAAGAGCCTTGGACACATTACGGTATCTCAGAAGGTGTGTACTGCATCCGTACTAAGTACCGATACTGCTTGTGGTGCAACAGCGCGGTGCACGACACCATAATGTGCCCCACGCAAGTCAAAGGCAAATTCCCTTCGGGGAAGTGAGCACCGCCGAGAGTGATGCAGCTGCACTCTCGACACCTTCGGAACCGGTTGCCTCGCGAGCAACCTCTCTTTATTCCGAGGCACATGCGAAAGTCGACAGTCCTCTCTTATATTCTTATGAGGACTATGCTGCCCGGCTCGTTCCTTTGCTGGGTTCTCGAGCTTAAGGACAAGATGTGTGTGCGGCTTCTTCTCCGTCCGGCAACAACAACAATGAATCGTCTTCAAGAAGTTCTTCAAGGGATTTGGCGCACGAGTTCAACATAGAGGTCTTGGACGCATTGACGTCCGAGGATTTTGCATGGCTTCCTCTCCCTTCCACAGGCTGCTTGTCGGGACCGCAATGCGCAGCACTATGCGCCCATCTCCACACATACTTAGCCTTCTATGCACCAGCACCTTCGCCGACGGATGACGAAGCTGCAGTGGGGGACATCCTTGCGTATGTTACCAAGGTGGCCCGCGAGTTTCGCATGCAGCGGTATGATGATAAGAACACACCACTCCTTTATGTCCGCATCCAAGTTGGGCAAGCGTCCTGCAGCGCTTTGTTGGGTAGCGGCACGACTCGCAATTTCATCAGCTAGTCCTTTATCCAAACGGTCGGCCTTGGCGCACAAATTCGAAGGAAGCCAAACCCGACGGCGATCAAGTTGGCGGACGGTCGGACGCAACAACTCTCGATCGCTACATTGAAGTTGTGCCGGTTTATTTCGCACCTCATGCATGCGAACCGCTGACGCTTGTCGTCTTAGACACGGACTTCGACATTATTTTGGGGATGCCTTGGCTTGCAAGTGCGGATCACACGGTTAACTTCCATCAACGGACACTTACCATTCGTGACGCCTTCGGCCCCGAGGTGCCGTGTACCATTCCTCTTCCACACTCCTCGATTCGGTGCCAAGTCGTAACGACCAAGTCTTTTCGGGCCACTTGCGCTTACGAGCGGACCGACGAGATAAGCCTATGTTTTCTACGAGCCACCGCGACGACCGAATCTTCACCTACGGACTTGTCTTCGGACCCCCGAGTAGTGCGGCTGCTCGACGAGTTCACCGACATCTTCGAGTCTCCTACCGGTGTGTGCCGGATCGGCCGATCTCCCACGAGATCATTCTTGACGCCGGTGTCGTGCCAACGAAAGGATGCATCTATCGCATGAGCGAGGAAGAGCTCGCGGTTCTCCGCGCTCAACTCGATGATCTCTTGGACAAGGGTTGGATCCACCCTAGTAGCTCGCCATACGGTGCGCCAGTTCTCTTCTTACGGAAGAAGAACAAGGATCTTCGCTTGTGGATCGACTACCGCAAGCTCAATGCACAAACCGTCAAGAATGCGGGACCTCTTCCGCAGATTGACGACCTTCTCGAGCGTTTGGGCGGCGCGGAATTCTTCTCGAAGTTGGACTTGAAATCGGGCTACCATCATATGCCTGCAAGATTGCTACAAATCCGCGTTCAAGACACAGTACGGGCATTTTGAGTGGATCGTTATGCCTTTTGGCCTCACCAATGCCCCGGCGACCTTTCAAGCGGCAATGACCAACGAGTTTCGGGCAATGTTGGACCAGTTCGTACTAATATACTTAGATGACATTCTCGTCTATACCCGGACATTGGAGGATCATCTTGAGCACCTTCGACGAGTGTTGGAGACGCTCCGCCGCGCCAAGTACAAAGCCAACCGCGACAAGTGCGAATTTGTTCGGCAAGAGCTGGAATACTTGGACCATTTTGTCACACCGGAGGGCATCAGTCCGTTGTCAGACAATATTCAAGCCATCCAAGAGTGGCCGGAGCCGAAGAATGTCACAAATGTCCGTTCCTTCCTTGGTTTCGCCGGCTACTATCAACGCTTCATCAAGGGATACTCGAAGATCGAGCCCCCTTTATCCAAGCTTCAATGCGAGGACCGGTGTAGGGGCCTTACCCTGAAGGACTTTCGAGCCTCGGTCGACCCCACTGCGGGTCCCATTTGGCTCGACCCGCCCACGCTCACGCCCAGGGCGCGGGTCGTTCGTCCCAGGGGCACCCCCACCTAGTGCTATGAAATGGATGGGGATGGGCCTTTTTGTGAGAGGGCTTTACATTGGGGGATGTAGCTCCGCTCTCGCGTCAAGATGGTAGCTCTTTGGGCACTCGTGGCGTTTTCTCGATTCGGTTAAGTCTGACCAGGCAATTGCTCCTTCCAATACACAAGCAGTCCAGGGAGTTCACTGAAGTCTCATCTTCTTATCGTGCGCAGGCCAAGCGTCATCCATTGGGCCACGCACCTTTTCACTAAGCCTAGCGGCTCTGGGCAGCCCCGGCGGCATCCTTGGGGTAAGTCGGCGTCACCCTTGACCCCTAGCCTCTATATTTTTTGCGAGAGCCACTAGCATCGCACCACCTATCCAAGACCGCCCTTAGTCTTTTCAGGGGTCGCATTGCACAAGAGTGAGACATTCCATCCAACCTCCAAACAAACCAAGTTCGTGCATCAACCATCCACCCAAGTGCCCGGCCTCAACTCATCCCGCATCCATGGCTTAAGCCGGATCCAAGTCCTTCCTTAGCCAATCTCCCACCCTAGTCCTCATCCGCGGGCCCAGCCCCGTCCCAATCGTCCCTGGCTACTCACCTCCGCAAGACCACACAAGACAAATGACCAAGTACAATCCCCGTTGGGTCAACACATCGCCCCTTCCCGCAATCCTAAGTCGCCTTTGCCTTCCAATTCCCCTTATGAGTTCCCCTCCCTTTCACACAGGCAAACCATGCGATCACCTCAGTCATGCATTCCGGGAGGATGGTTGAGTCAAACTGACCTCGTCCAAAATCAGCACTCCTTCTTGCTTTCGCAAATGCTCTCAATAGTCCCGTATCCATTCCTTCTTGGTGGCACAAGGGACCGACAGCCCTTCCCTTGCCCTCGCTTTCCACCAAGTGAGGACTAAGTTCCTTTCCGTTCGTTCCCTGGCAATGTAACAGGTGAGGGTAGAGGTTAGTCACATGCCATGAAGGGGGAAGGGGTGACGGAAGGATTAGGGGTTAAAGGGTTTAGGAGGAAAGGAGGAAGACGGAGGGAGAGGGAGAGGAGGAGAGAGAGAGAAAGAGGGGGAGAGAGAGAGAGAGAGAGACAGACAGACAGAGAGAGAGACGGAGAGAGATAACGCGAGAGAGAGAGAGAGAGAGAGAGAGAGAGAGAGAGAGAAGAACCTTCCCCTCCTAATCGACCTTGCTAATTGACTAACCCCAGCCGATCCTACCTTGCTAATTGACTTACCCTAGCCGATCCTATCCGAGGTCCCGTGCATCCCCCTTGCGGCCCCCCTAAGACTTCCGGAGGACGGGCGTGGGTAAAGGAGGAGGAAGGAGGGTTGATGGTGGCCGACTATGGTGGACGGGTGTGGGTGATGGAGGAAGAGGAAGGGTTGAAGGTGGTCGGCTATGGTGGACGGGTGTGGGTGATGGAGGAAAAGGAAGGGTTGAGGGTCGGCTATGGTGGACGGGCGTGGGTGAAGGAGGAGGAAGAAGGGTTGGAGGTGGTTGGCTATGGTGGACGGGTGTGGGTAAAGGAGGAGGAAGAAGGGTTGGAGGTGGTCGGCTATGGTGGACGGGAGTGGGTGATGGAGGAAGAAGAAGGGTTGGAGGTGGTTGGCTATGGCGGACGGGCGTGGGTGATGGAGGAGGAAGAAGGGTTGAAGGTGGTCAGCTTTGGTGGACGGGTGTGGGTGACGGAGGAGGAAGGAGGGTTGAAGGTGGTTGGCTATGGTGGACGGGTGTGGGTGATGGAGGAAGGAGGGTTGGAGTGGTCCGGCTATGGTGGACGGGTGTGGGTGATGGAGGGAGAAGAAGGGTTGGAAGTGGTTGGCTATGGTGGACGGGTGTGGGTGATGGAGGAAGAAGAAAGGTTGGAGGTGGTCGGCTATGGTGGACGGGTGTGGGTGATGGAGGAAGA